CCCTGCCCCCCCCCGCTGTGGCTGCCATAGTAACTAGACTGAGACTGGTTGTAGTTCTGGTAGTTCTGGCCCTGACCTCCATGGTAACTGCTCAACTTCTGGCTGCAAAAATAAGAAATACAACAAAGTTTAATGCATATTTAAATGGAATTTGGTGCTGGACAAGTATTCATTTCTTGAGTCATTAAAAAAGTGAATACAATTTCAGAGGATACACTGTTTCAAAGGAAGCTATTCCATGCTATGACAAAGCTAAGTCTCAGGGGAAACAAAGCACTTCAAAAGCACCAAACTACTTCAACAATCAAAGAAGCTGGGCTCGCAGCAGCTGCGATTAACTCAGCCTATCATTAGGTGTTACTGTGGGTGGAGGATTCTGTATTCGCTTTTTATTGTGAGGTTTATAAAATCCTGGGAGAACACATGCAGTTTTGACACGTTCCATCATGTTTCTTCATCGGTGCTTTACCTCTTTGCTACAGCAATACTGAGTCTGAGCGGCTTCCCCCCAAGCATCGTTCCCTGGCATTCGTCGATCGCCTTCTTCTGCTCGCTCTCCTCCCCAAACTTGACAAAGCCATAACCTCTGCAAATCAAACAACAGTTATACCTCCTCTCCACGCAAAAAATCACCAGATTCTTGGCATTAAATAGCCACTTATAATGAGAAAGAGAATATAATGGGTATTATTATGGTAGAACTGAAACTTGTTGTTTTACTTTTAACATGAGGTAGCATCACTTGAATTGTGAGTTGCTCTTGCTTAGCCTATATGGGGAAAACAATAGTTTTAGCATAAGACTGCAAGAAAACATTTCTTTAGCTTTTTTCGAAAATAGATGAAGATGTACGGGTGGTCAACGTCCAAAACACTGCCATCCAAATAATCATTACACCACAGAAACCAGGAAACTTTATTATTGAAAATACACAGAATAACAGAACATTATATGCCACACCACGGTAGTAAACAAACAATATGCAGTTTAAGAAATCACCTGCTCTCAAACTATACTAACAACATTTCTCAAGACACATTGCTGCCTGGTCCACCTCTGTGAGCTGACATACCTGGAGTATCCATACTGGTCGGTGACGACTTTGGCTCCTTTGCAGGAAGGATACTTCTTAAAAACCTGGTGTAGCTGAAAGTCATCCACCTCAGAAGCCAAGTCGCCTACAAACACTGAAAATTCAGGCCTGACAGAAGAAGAACCTTTGATGAGATATCTTTTTATATACCTACTGTATATCACTGTCAAGAATTAAAGGGACAGGTGACTACTGCTATGCAACCATTGTGGTTATTTTCATTCATTCATAAAGTAGCCACTGTGGTGAGGAGAAGGTTTGCTATTTAATTGCCTTTTAGATGTTTGTTGTTCAGAAGAAACCAAGCCTTTTGCTTCCTAGTATTGTCCTCACACACAAACCCCTGTGGTATTAGAAACATGTCGAGGAAAACCCAAGCAGCCAATCACAGTTCTTGCAGCAGCCATCTGCTGATGCACTAAGCTCGAGTTATGCTTCTGTGTTGAATCTATGCAGAGCCTACGCCACCGGCAATGCAAGTGGTATACACCATTGTAAGCATTTGTTACTTGTGCAGTGTGTGTGTGTCCCTCTGCAAATACACTGCCAAAAATGCTAGTTGGCAGTGGGGTTTCTGTGCCACTGCGCTGAATTTCTTTGGCACTTTTTTTAGTTTTTCTGGCAACTGAAACTGAATGGGTGACGTTGGAGTTAGAGCTAATAGATCCTGAAGAAGTTACTTTTACTGAATTAGTGCAATACAGAAAAGAGAGAAGATGGAGGCGGGAGAGGGAGACGGTGAATTTTCTGTGCTTCTCCAGCCACTGAGAGACATGGATGAGGAAATGCAATGCAACTGACCACAAATGTTGCATTGACTCTAGGGGTGGGATTACAGTTTGGCAATGGCAGACTCAGCCTTAAAAAAAAAAAAAAAAGAAAGCCCATGTTCCATATAGGCCTATACAATGTTCCACCATTAACTAGTGTGTTCACAATTTAGTTCAGCTCTGCAGATATCCCACAGGACAACCTGACTTCACCCTGCCTAGTGTGTGTTGAACATAGTTTGTAGATTTCTATAAACTGTCAATCACAGGAATCCCTCTGTTACTTGCTTGGTTCATTTGCAAACCAGACTTAAGTTCAAGGACTGTGCTTTATTATCTAATTTTTAGTTATACTGTTTCGGTCTGCTTTTAATCCTGACATTTTTCACATTTTGTCAGTACTTTGTAACATCAAACTTGTGAAAATATTCACTAACTTAACTGTTATAAACTATATCACCAAAGGCACTTCACATACTCCATCTCGGGTCTCCTGTTGGTTACACTACTTGGTTATATAAATAGTTTTCATGGCTCTTCCCTTGATGCTTCTGATACAGTTTTTCTCCAGACAAATACAAAACTGTATAAACAACAGGAGAAAATTGATGTGAGAATGGAATCTGATGATGCTAACTTACATAAAAGTGAAGATATTTAATATTTAAATAGCATCTCTTTTTGACGTTGCAGACCAATTTGGCCAGCGTGGAGGATGGGTTGATTTGATGAAAATCAGGTTACTACCTTGTAAAATGGCATCATATTTGTTTTAACAATGTTTCACATATGACTTATTGATCCAGGAACTTCCTTTTTTTTTTTCTTTACCAAAATGTCAGTCTTTTTAAAAAAACATTTTTAAACATTCCCACCACTAGTTGCTGTGATGTGTGGTTACATTTATGGGGAAGTGCACGTCAGGCTGCTTCATAGGGTACAACATACCTACAATATAGATTTGGCACAGAAGCATAAATCAGGCTTTAGCCCTAATGTGTAGTTACATTTTGGACCAGGCACATATCTGCTACACCACAGCTTACACACAGCCACCGTATTCTATAGCGTTGTCATTAACACAAGCATAAATGGGCTTCTACATGAAGATCACACTTGGACCAATTAATGCAGAAAACTCAATTCTAAAGAGTTCATATACTTTTCCTTGCCACTATTTATTATTATAAATCCACTCATGGATATCAGAAAAATATGCTTCACCGTGTTATGATACGGACTTCAGTCACACTGCCAGCTGTGGTCTACATCACTAAAATGATGAGGTCAGCAGTGTACCACAGAGAGGAAGATTAATTCTTCTACATTCACACACAATTCTGATTTCAAGTTATATGAATAGCTGGACTGTTTTCCTGCACAAAACTGTGTAGAATTTTTAAACTTAAATTCCATTGCAAGTGGCCCAGTAGTGATCAATTTAAGTGAGTAACATGCAAAAATTGAATGTAAATGACATCTTACCCTGCCTCCGGCCGTTTCCCATAGGTGGCATAGTTTAGCTTAAACTTCCGGGGCTGCACATGGGAAGAGAAACACACACTAAGCAAACCTCCAACATTAAAGATGTGTACTATAGCACTGATATTGCTGGGAATAGAGAGTAGCGTTATTATGGTTGTTACTTGGGTTTACATACCTCCACCACCCAGACCAGCCATTAGCCCATTCCTCAGTTAGTTCCTACCAGAGACTCTATTCACCAGCTTCAAACAAAGTACATTCATGTACAAGCAGGCTCTCAGCCACCTTCAGCAGCAGGTACAGGCCGGTGGACAGGGGAGTCCAGTAGCTTGGCCAGCTCACAGGGCCAACAGTAACAAGCAGCTACAGCTCACAACTTGACATAGCACTCAACACTTAAGCTGACATTACTTTTATTTTAATATCCCCAGGTCCACAAATGGGCTTGCTGTCACTGTAGCCAATAAAGATTAAAGTTTCACTCTGTATTATGTGTCACTGGTATTTATCATTGCATCTTTGTAAAAGTTTGGTTTAAATTGACTGGAACAGCAAAATAGTAGCAGTGAAAGCAACACAAACAGCAAATTCACTGGGTCTGGCTCATTTAACCAAAATGTTGGTCATAACTGAGTTATAAGCATCAGAACCTACTGGGTTTCTGTTGTAACAAAAGAGGACCAAGACTAGTTGAGCTCCACCATCCACAGCCAAATCAACAGTTATATAGTGCTTCATAGCACAAGTCTAATACTGGAAAAAACTGAACTCTGTATTAAATTGTCAGTAGTATTTTTATTATTCCATTACACAGTAAATATGTTGTCATAAGGACTGCATCAAATATAAGTGAGTATTTTGTGATTACACTAAACTGACCGGGTTTGATCCAGGAACCAGTTTCCCATTGAGTCTCTGGACACAGCGGTCAACACTTGCTTCATCTGCCAGCTCCACAAAACAGTATCCAGCTGAACCACTGCACAAGAGGACACATGCAGCAGGATACACACTTGAGAAACAACATTGTATACAAGCAATACAACAGTAACTGCATTATCAGTATAAAAGCCATATCTCTCTCTCTCTCCCCATCTTAGCGTTGCTCCCGTTGGTGTGGTGAAGCTCACTCACACACGGTTGTGACATTGGTTGGACAACCGGCTTGTCACCCCAGCATGACGTCAGTATCTCACACACATACACCACTGACACCACCAGGAGCAACCAGAGGCACAGAGTCTTGGTCAAGGACACTGATGATGGGAAGAGAGACCAGGAATCGAACTGCCAATGTGCTCTACCTCCTGAGTCACAGCCTCCCTAATAAATGGTGTTTGGAAAATACTGCAATGGTCAGAAGAAGTGGGTAAGGAAGAATGTTAGATATAAAATCAGCCACACCTCTTTAATGATAAGGGTGTACTTGAGCATAACAGTATGCTGACATGTGACCTTGTGCAGAGGATGCATGTACAATACATACCATGTATGTATGGTTTATGTTTTTAAAAAGAAATCACCTTTCTCTGCACGCTGATATTTTCCTAAGCAAAGGTTGTCGTCTGATCTCAGGATGTTTTTCCTGCAGTAATGTGAACACACCATTATAGGGTTGCTGTAGTTGTTCAATGGACCACCAATTCCCAACCTCATTGTTAAACAATTATTAAGGGAAGATATACCAGCACACCTGATAACATAGCAGATGTTTTTTAACGCAGAGCCTGGTGTAGAGCATGAGGTGCTCTGCAGAACCTACCCTGTTATCCTGTGAGTAATGATCTTGACTCCAAATGGTGATTCTCCCATAGCGCTAAAGGCCTGCTTGATGAAGTTTTCATCCATGTATGGGTCCAACTAAACACACATCCAAAGAAATTTAACATATATTACATTCAGTTTAAACCAAAACCAAATGTTTGATTGACTGATTTTATTCTTTCAAGCATGTAAAGATAGTTGATATGTCAACACACATGACCCCTTAAATTGTATCCCCCTTCCCTTTCATTAAATAGTTTTTGAATTCCACCAGGTAATAAATTGTTCCTGGCTTTATACATAAACACAGCAGTCTTATATCCCACTAAATCAAACAATTTTAACAATTTAGACTGTATGAAAGCTACATGTGTGATCCCTGTACCCCATCTTATGCACAATTCTTATCGCTCTTTTTTGTAATATATACAATGGTTGAAGTGAGCTTTTGTATGTATTTCCCCAGTTTTCAACGCCATACTCCAAGTATGGTAAAATCAATGAAGAATACAAAACGTGTAGTGCTTTCCCGTCCAAAATATATCTAACCCTTGCCAATATC